CTGAAAGAGTGACCGCTGGCCTGTAAATGAGTGAAAACTGCAGAGTTCTGGCCATTAGAATTAGCTAATGTTTCATTAAAGAAGAACCCGTCCAGAGGACCTATACAATTTTTTTTCCTTTTGATTTTTTACCTGGATTACTGAGATGCATCAGGACAAAAGTAAAAGTACTTTTACACACTTTGTAAGAAATAAYCAGTTGAATTTACTGAACCAAAGTGGTTCCACTAAACCAGTTTGAGTAAATTGAACAATATGTATATTCTTTGCTCAATTTACTGACATGACTTTGTTGAGTAAATTCAACACTTCATTTTTTAGAGTGCAGAAACCTCATCTTTCATGAGGTCAAACATATTTATTTTAAAGAGTAACGTGTTACATTTTAAAGTAAATAATTGTCCTTTTTAGCTTTAAAATGTAACAAAATAAAAGTAAAAATAGCTTGGTAAAATTACAAACCCTCAAAGAAAAAACTATTTTAACAGTAAATGCACTTAGTTACAATAAACCTCTGGTTACTTATTATAACAAATGTACAAAAACAAGATGGGTGTTAGCAAAAATCCTTCCAGCTGCACAGCATCTAATAGCAGAGWAAATAATCATCCAAAAAAGCCATTTTTATCTAAAATAAAAGATGAATTACATGTTTTTTAAAAGAATATATCAGAATGAATGTAACAGAGCTACTCCAACGTGCTGCCACATCGAGCGACAGTTCTAGAAGAAGAACTAAAACAGGTTACAACCAGTTTAGTGTTTGTTCTGGTCTGGACTGACTCCAGTTGTGCATTCAGCTAAAAGCAGCAGAGTTTGAGAGAAAAGCCTCTCAGGGCTCCTGTTGCAGCTCAGCTGTTTCAGAAATGCTGACAACCATCTGTCCGAAGCAGAAATCCTCTAAATCCAGCCACTTTTATTTTTTTAAATAAAGCAACAACTGTGTGAAACCTGCCAGAACCTGCCGAGCGTTAATGCAACTCCTCGGCTGCGGCGCAGTTTAGGTTCAAAATGCAAAACCTGGTTTTATTTTAAGGTCTTTGGAAAATGAAATATAAAAATATTTGTTTTTGTTTTTCCCTCCAGCTGTGTCTCTGGCTCTGGCTTTAAACGGAGTCTTTACAAACACCATCAAGTTGATTGTTGGCAGGTAGGTTTTACAAGATGAGCTGCATCTTTTAAATCACACAAAATCACATCTTTCATTTTAAAAACCCGCTCTGGTTTTCAGACCCAGGCCAGATTACCTGCAGCGCTGTTTCCCAGACGGACAAGTGAACGCTAAGATGCTGTGCACCGGGGAGCAGGAGGTGGTCTCTGAGGGCCGCAAGAGCTTCCCCAGCAGCCACTCGTCCTGTGAGTATCCTGCTTCTGTCACGTTTTAGTGTTTCAGCTTCAGACTGGAGCTTCGGCATCGTTTGGATCTTTGTTGTGGACTAGCTAAACTGATCACATGCTAATGCTAATTTTACAAAAGGCTATAATTCAGCCATTTTTAAACAAACACAGCTGGAAAATTATTTAGGGCAAATACCAAGTCAAAGACCTCTCCCCACATGTTAATTATTTGGGGGTGGCACCTGGGGTGACCAACCAGGAGCCACCCCGACCACCCCTCTGGCTCCGCCCCTGAGTCAACCAGTTTTGTGTTTGTTCCTAAAGTATGTATTAAAATGAGGGAGTTTCCTGAATGTTTTATTACTTTCAGAGGTTTATAGTAACTAAGTACATTTACTTTGTTACAGTACTAAGTAATTTTTGAGGATTTGTAATTATACCAAAAACTTTTATTTAAATCGTGACTTTTACTTTTATTTCGTTACTTTTAAAACTTAAAAATTATACTTTTATTTCTTTAAAGTTTAACACCTAGTTAGTTACTTGTTATAGATTGAATCTGTCTGAACTCATCATGAAAGGAGTTGTTTATGTGCTCTAAAAAATTAAGTGTTGTATTTACTCAACTAAATCAAATCAACCATTTCCACTAAACCTAAAGAGTAAATTTGAGGTGATGTACATATTTTACTCTAAAGAAATTGACCAATTTAATCAACTTMGTTTTGTGGAACCAGTTTGGTTCTGTAAATTTAACAGTTTATTTGTTAGTGGGCGTGGAAAACTACTTTTACTTTACCAATTTTTGTGAACAGTTTTATGACTTTTACTTAAGTACTTTTCTCATCAATGACATTTATTTTTACCAAAGTCATTTTCTGTTAAGGTATTTTTACACTTAGTTTTTTTATGTACTTTATAGACTTATGGTTTTGTTGTTTCAGCTTCAGACTGGAGCTTAAGCATCATTTGGACATTTGTTGTGGACTAGCTAAACTGATCACATGCTAATGCTAATGCTAATTTTACAAAAGATTATAATTCAGCCATTTTTAAACATACGCAGCTGAAAATTATTTAGTGCAAATACAYAATCAATCAATGGGGGTGGCYCCTGGGGTGGCCAYTCCGGAGCCACCCCGACCACCCCTCTGGCTCCGCCCCTGGGTCAAACAGTTTTGTGTTTTTTCCTAAGGTATGTATTAAAAAAGGGATTTTCCTGAATGTTTTGTGACTTTGAAAAGTTTTTTTTGTTCTGTTGGATCCAGTTTTAGTGTTTCAGCTTCAGACTGGAGCTTCGGCATCATTTGGACCTTTTCGCTCAACAAGCTTCWCCTCAGTTTGTGTCTCAGTGGTCCAGCTGTTCACATGGACTCCGTTAGGTTGTGGTTCAYACATAAGAAGCAGCCGAAAACTCATCTTTTTGAAGAGTCGTCTCTATGATTCGGCTCATCTTGAACATAAAACCATCTTGTTGTTTCCATGGTGAGCCTCAGGGAAAGATGGTTTCCTGTCTTTCTGTCTGTGACAGGCTGCTGGTCAGGACTCTGCAGCAAATTTAAATGAGATTTCATCGAACTGATCGTTCCTCAGTCGTTCCACTTTTGGATAATTTTGAAGCTCATCAGCACACCTGCTCCGAAACGGCTCTGAAGTGGTATCAGTGGGCTCGTAAGAGGGTCCGATCAGATCTGTGTGTGGAGCACGTTCGTCCTCACAGCAGCTCCGTGTTGAGTTATTCTGAGAGAAGTYCAGCAGAAACTCAGAAACTCAAAACGTTTAAAGAGTTGAAGAAATCCAATTTTCTCTCTCTGCTCCTTTTTTTTTTACCAGACTGAAGCTTTTGAAGCTGAAGTTAGAGAGAAAAACYTGACGAGGCAGAGAGAAAAACCAGCGTTTTCTGCACAAATATAAAGCCTGAGACGTAAAAACTCTGACATTCATTCATAAACATGAAACAGAGAGTTTCCAGGTAAAACCATCATCAGGACAGACGTCTGTAAAACAAAATATTTCATTTTGTTTCAGCGTCTTTAAGGCAGATTCTTCTTTATCTATCATATTTATAAAAAGTATCGTTTTTATTTTTTTTAAATGTTTAAATTAAAATTATGAGCTAAAACATCCACAGGATGCAGCAGCAGTAATGTGATGCAGAAAAGACGTTGTTAATAGACGAAGCTGTAAACGCCCTGAGTGGTCGTTAAAACGTTTTCTCTCCGGTAAAAGTCAGAGCGCCGTCCCGGTTCTTCTGCACAGGGTCAAAGGTCAAAGCAGGAGAGCGGAGAGGATAGAGACGGAGAGTTTGAAAGCCTGATAATAATAATAATAATAATAATAATAATAATAATAATGGCTGTTAAAGGTCAAAGTGAGATGCTGATGTAAATTACAGATTACACTAAAAAGCTTCAACAAGCTGCTGCTTTTATGGAGTAAAAACACAGAAATGTTTAGAAACAGTTTGAAAGTATAAAAACACCTAAAGCACGTGTCAAACTGAAGGTCCGTGGGCTAAATGTGGCCCGTGGGTGACTCCCATTTGGCCCGCRGAGAGGCTTATTTTGTTGTGCACTTGAAGAGCAAAAAAAATTCATTTTTTTTGCTTAATATGAATAATAGGATAGTACAGTATTAATGTCTGAAAATAATCTGCTTTAAATATTGTTAAAAAAATTATTTCTCTGATGCTCATAGTTTGAAGGTTAGCTGCTAAAGATGCTAACACACACGGTGCCTGYCACGTCCAGCACTGCTTCTAAGAGGGGGTAGCTTTTATTTAATTCTGGATAAACCGTGTATAAAATACAAATGTTACACTTGTGGAAATTTTAGCAAACTTAAAATTACTGGAAGCTAATCAGTCCGCTAATGGTTTCTAAAGTTAGCAACAAGGCTAGTTCTGCTTAGCAGATTAGTGTATTTTTGCCCACCACTGTTGCTAATGTTAAATGTAGAAATCTTCTTTATTTGAAGCGTGTCGAGGGTACACACAGTACGCAGTGTCCTCACTCGGGCATAAATTCAAAGTTTTCCTTGTTATGATGACCTAAGGTGTAAAAAAGCATTTTTATTTCCTACAACAAACCATTTCTCTCATTGTTTAGATTTTCTTGTCTCAGCTGATGCTGATGAATCGGTTCTCTGTGACATAAAGCAGGTTTCTGTTCTCAGTGCTTTAATAGAACGATTAAAACAAGTGATGAAAACAGGAACCGATGGAGGAACTGAGAGTCGGAGGATCTCAGGCTGTGATGTTTTCTTTATAAAAAACAAACTGGAGTTTGTGGGCGATGAGCCGTAGTGTTTTCTTTACCGCGAGGTGCCAATTAACTGTAGCTGTGCTGTGACTCATACTTCCCTGATGGAAACATCAGCATCACTGCAACCTTTCCTGCAGTCAATCAGTTAAATCTCCTCATGGTTTGGTTAATAAGCCTGTTGTGTTCTCGTCACTCACGTCTGAAACATTCAGCTCATTAATGAGACYAATGTAAGGACTTCTGCTTTTTGCAGCTTTGGCACTTTTAAAATAATTACCTCTGTTCAGAGTTATTCTCCTGTAATTTATCTGCAGAAATAAATAACCTGAATGTGTGAAATTAGCAAACATTGGTAAAAATACTGGAGTTACGTCAAACAATTTGTTTTCAAGAAAATCCACCGGAGTTCACGTCCAGAACTTTATTATGGAGGACCGAATCTGACATAATTAGAAATAAAAGCAGAAACAAATCAATCAATCAATCAAAAACAATCAATCAATCAAAAACAATCAATCAAAGACAAACAGTCAATCAATCAAAAACAGTCAATCAATCAAAAACAAACACAATCAATCAGTCAATCAATCAGTCAATC